GCCAGAAAAGCTGCAGGACCATGGGGGGTCCGGAGCTGACCTGAGCAGGGCTCACCCACCACGGCATCCATGCCACTGGGAGGGGAAGTGCACGTGGCAGGAGAGGAAAAGGCCACGAGGATGAATCAGCCGCTCTCGCAGCCCATCTGTCTCTGTTTGGAAGGGCCCCACGCTGAAATTCTTCTGAGCACTCCGAGCTTTAGTGCTCTCCTGATCCACTCTGCGTGAGCTCTCCTCCTCCCCTTGAGCAAGGACTAATAATTAGCAGCTCAGGGCAAGCATGGCTGAGCACAGAGAGGCAGATGGCATTTGATCATCTTGAAAAATCGAGTGGCCCCCATGGCCTGGGAGAGAAGCGGGTTAGTGAGTTGGAGGGAAGGGGCAGCAGGGGATGGATTTGGAGCATCCCTGTGCCCCAGGAAGGATGGAACTAGGCCAGGATATCTGAGCATGTGAGTTCCCAGGGAGAACAGCCAAGTTTGGGAAGGACACATGTCCTGTGGGCTGGTGAAGCAGAAAATCCCTGCCTGGCTTGGGGTGTCCCCAAGATGCTTGGGAGCAGCATCCTAGATGCTCTCATGTAGGCTTATATTTTATATATATACACAATATCTTATAAATGTTATATATATATATTTAACAGCTTCTTGCTCTGGTGCTGCTGTTAAAAATCACTCCCCAAATCTCCAGGGAAGGCTGCTGGGGTGCTGGACCATGGTTGGAGGACTCCAGCAGCTTTGTTGCCTGTTGAATATACAATAGCCAGGGCTTGTCTATTACTCCCTCTCCAGGGAGGGATCTCTGCCTCCCTGCTCGCCCTGGGGCTCATGGCAGTGCTGGAGCTCAGCATTGTGGTGCTGGACCCTTGTGCTGCCTGGGGAAGATCAGCTCCCATGGACCAGCACAGCATTAAGCCTTTCTGTTTTAACTCCAATGGTTTTGGTGAAGTTTATTCAGATAAAGGAAGCAAAGAGCTCACCCAGTGCCTTAAGTGCTGAGTGTACTTATTATGGTAATACACAGTTACTTGGCTAAAGACATGATTGCTGCCATTGTAACACAAACACACAGGCAGAGAAAACCCCTAAAAGGAATTTCCTCTTCGTAGGTCAGTGGTGCTGCTGGGAACCCACTTCTCACAGCAGCTCTTTATTAGTTAATCAGCTGCTAGAGGAAAAAAATGAAGTATGTTGTGAGATTCCAGGGCCTCCTGCCTGCTGGGGCTGGATTCCTTGGCTGTGGCACATGGTTGGGGTTGGGATAACGGGGCTGGGTCTCTTGGCAGCGTGTAGCACCTCTTGAGGATGCTGCAGAGAGGATCTGTTTGTTTTTTCTTCCATCACATGTGCTCTGGTGCTTGAAAAGGCTCTTCTCAGTGATTTGTGGGGTTGGGATGCTGCCTTTGGGTGCTTGTGTCCCGTTTCAGCCCACACTGATGTACAGACTAAGGGGCCAGAGCTGCTCACTATTCTGTCCCTGTTTGGCCATGGCAATCCCGTGCAGGAAGGGCTGGAGGGATGCTGGGTGCAGTCTCTCTAATGAGATCCCCATTAGATGGGCTGAGCTCCAGCTGTGTCAACACAGCTGGGTGCTTTGTGTCCTCATATATGCCCTGGGCTGAGCTGGGACTGTCATTCTGCTCCCAGCAACTGTGCAGGTGAAAGCACAAGTGCCCATGTGTTTGCAGGTGAGTATCCCCTCTCTAATTCAGTTTGGCCCCGTGGCCATGGTTTTATCTGGATGATTTCCCCGCGGCAGGAGCAAACAGTAAATTTCCTGACTTTTATTACTTTGAGACTGAAGTTTGGGAGATAAGAGCCTGTAGAGACTTCATTTTCAGGTGTTGAAAGCCTGTGATGTGTCACAGCACAGCGGTTCCTTAGCTCTCCTGTATCAAAACCAGACAAATGTACCATTGCTGGGCAGCAATGTCCCCCTCTCCGGTGGAGGTTGGGGTGGCAGAGGCTGCTTGGAGTCCTGTGCAGGTCTGTCCTATACTCTTACTGCATCCCAGTCGTGCAACCAGGGATATGGACAGCAAGTATGAGCTGGGGTCACCTGTGGGAAACCACATGTGGGACTATGAGGGGGTCATACAGGTGGATATGCTATGTTCCTTTGCTTTTTTAACTAGTAATTGTCATTAATGGAGCTGTGAAGCCATATTCTGTCCAGCTGTTACCAGGGAGCCGTGTGGCAGCCTGGGTTTATTCCCAGGAAAAGACTGATTTGCAGCTGGAAGGGCTCAGAGGCACCAATACCTGAAGGGAGCCTATTAGAAAGATGGATACGGTCTATTTATAGAGGCATGGAGTGACAGGACAAAGGGGGGAATGGCTTCAAACTGAAAAGAGAGTATATTTAGATTAGGTATTGGGAAAGAATTCTTCCCTGTGAGGGTGGTGAGCCACTGGCATACATTGCCCAGAGAAATTGTGGCTGCCTCACCCCTGGAAGTGTTCACGGCCAGGTTGGATGGAGCTCTGAACAACCTGGTCTAGTGGAAGGAATCTATGGCAGGAGGTTTGGAATGAGATAATCTTCAAGGTCTTTTGCAACCCAGGCCATTCTATGATATGCACTCAAGCTGTATGTTATTAAGCAAACCCAGCATGGAAGTTGGGCTGCTGGCTGCCTCCGTGGTCCCAGCTCTGTCCACGGTCCATTTCCAGCACATCCCGAGCTGTTTCCTGCTGACAGAGGCAGGGCTGGCATTTAAACAGCAGAAGCCAAATTACACGATGAGCAAATGTGGTGGTTTTTCCCCACCAATTCAGATTTAGTTTGGAAATAAAGCGTGTTTGTTTTCCGTGTAAGGAGGGGAGCAGAGGCCAGAGGACGGGCAGGTGCCCCGGTGCCGGGTGCGCGGCACCCCGCGAGCACCCTCGTTAGCGCGTAAGCCTCGTCAGCTTCCCCTCACAAAATGTTCTGGCATCCTCCCTTCTCTCCTTGTCGCTTCTCCAGAGGGAACGTGGCTTGTTCCGCTGGCAGCGTGAGCCCTGTTTGCTGAGGCGGAGGCAAAGCTAATTATTTCTATTTATTTCCTCAAACTTTCTCAGTGTTTCGTTTGAGGTCTCTGCTTGAGCTTTCCTGCTTGTCTCCAAGCCTGGGAGTCACCAGTGTCCCTGGAGCAGCCAGCCTGGTGGGAGGTGCATTGGTAGGCATCAGGAGAGCCAGTCTCCGTGTGGATGCTGGACCTGCCCTCGGGTTGTGTCCTCATTTGCTCTTGGCTAATTGTCCTCAGGGCTCTGCTGCAGCCACAGCATGGCTGAAACCTGGAGTGTTCATGCTTGGTGTGCCTGAACGTCTCCTGTCCTTGCCAAGGAAATGTTCAGGAAAGGAACAGGGCCACAGAACAACAGTTCTTTGGAAAAAAAAAAAAAAGTAAAACCAACACTAACCAAACAAAAAACAAAACAAAAATCTCATCAGCTACAGGAAAAAAATAAACAAAACCACCCAAAACAGCAACACAAAAGAAAAAAAGCCTCAAGAAAACCTGGAGTAGCTGAACAAGGAGTTAAACTTTAGCAGGGGAGGGTTGAAAACGAGCAGAGCGAGATGAAAAGCAGAAGTTGAGGAAAATGAGATCTTATAAAGGTGTCCAGAACTGACTTGAAAAAGTAATTAATGCTCCTAAAAAAAGTCGCATGGGTAAGCAAAGTAGTGGAGTGAAGGATCTGTTTATAGCTTTCAGTGGGAGCAGCCAACTCATCTTATCAATGTGCTAATTAATTTGCTGAGGCTCTTGCTGGCAGTTGCCTTTTCCTTTCCGGAGAGCTTGCCAAGAGCTAAATATCCCTTGGGCTGGGCAGGTTTAAATTTGGGGTGATTTTAGATACCTTCTATTTACAGTGCATCACTACAGACCCGAAGGAAACAGGATGTTCCCCTGGGCTGTCCATCCCTTCCCCTGCAGCAGGGAGATGTCAGGCTTATTTTGATGAGGATGAAGGGCCATGCTCTATGTTGTCCCCTCAGTTACTGTTGATTTTTTTTTCCTATATTATTTTTTCTCCTGCTGTGGTGTTTCCCAGCGTTTATCCCAACCTCTGTTTTCACCTCCCTGTTTGTTCTGGAGGAGGGGTTAAAATGATGATGTGCTCAGTTTGCTGCATTATTAGGGGCTTTAAATCTTCCTTTTCCTTGCTGGGTTATCTTCTCCTGTATCAGAGATGTAGTTAAGAAGGGGGCAACAACCCCAGCTCCCTTGTCCCTTCTTTCACCTCCATCACAGGCAAACACTGGGAGAGGAATTTCAGGGACTGATGGAGCAAAGGCCTTCCTGGAGCAATTCCAATGTGAGAGTACAGTGTTTCACCATGACAAGGCTTTGGGTATATTCTCAGACACAAGCATCTCCTGTCTATAGGGCATCATCTACTTTGCTTAGCAAAGGAGAATTACATGGCAAGGTGTTCCTGACAGTGTTCCTGTGCCTTTTGCTCCCATGTGTAGCTCCTGAGTCAAAGTCACACTGATATTTCCACATCCAGCTTCATGAAGTACTGCCTGTCTGTCTGTCATCCCATGAATGTGAGGCTGGAGTGGGATATGGATGATCCACCCAGGCATAGCTCACAGAGAAAACCCAACCAAATGGAAGGAGCGCAGGGGTGATCTGACCTGGGTGTCCCAAGGCTCCTCCCCTGTAATTTTGCTGTGATTCATCTATGGGAAGCTCTGCTGCTCCAGGGAGAGCTGGCTGCAGGGTCAGAGAGCTGCAGGTTCAAGAGGTGCAGGGGTGCCCAGTTTGGGAAATATGAGGAGAGCACCAAGGCAGGCAGTGGTACCCCTTGACCTAACCTTAGGGACCCAGTGATGTTGTGCACTGTGCCTGGTTGGAGACAGTCTAACCCAGCAAACCCTGGAGAAACAGGACTTTTGGTTGACGTGGGGTGAAGGGAGGGAATTGTGGTGCAAACAGAGCAAACCCCTGAGCCTCCCCTCTCTGTCTTGTTCCCCTCCAGAGTGATGAGCCGCAAGAGCACCCAAGATGCTGGGATTTGGCACGTGCTCCATGGGCGCGCCGGGCAGGGGGGCTGAGCTGGACGATGCCTCCCCCCGCTACGTCCTGGCCCTGCCCGAGGAGGAGACGTGGCGAAAGCACCGGCTTGGCTTGATGCAAACCACCCAGTCCTGCAACCTGCTGGAGCCCGAGGGCCTGGCCGAGGCCCTGGTCTCGAGGGCTGCCAGCTTTGATGCCCTCTACGAGCCCCGCTCCCGGGATGCCGACGCAGACACCGGCAGCGCCTTCGACCTGGGCCTGGGCCAGTATGTGCCCGTGAGCCCGGACGTCATCAAGCGCCGGCGGGGCGGGCTGATCGAGCAGAGGGACATTATCAAGGCACACGAGGCACACAAGATGCAGAGCACGCCACAGGCGCGGAGGAAGGAGTGGGAGTAAGTACCGGAGAGCCCCCAGCCCAGGTGGGCAGCCGGGGGGAGTGGGAGCGTTCCCTGTCTGATTTGGGGCTGGCGGGAGACTCTGGGGGGTGTCATGTCGGTGGCATCATCCCCGTGGTGCAGCTGCCACCCACTGTGCTCCATCTCCTGTTCCTCCTGAGCTGGGCTGCTCAGCTCCAGGCTGGAGGGCGGCATTCCATGGAAACGGTGCACTTTGGGTGGGGGTCCCCTAAGTTGTGAGGTGCTCTGTGGGACGTAGAGGAAACTTGGAAGTTCTCAAGATAGTTTTCCTTGGATGCCGAGTGAGTTTTGGATGCATTTGGGGTCATTGCCTTCTGCTTTTGCTGTGGCTTGAGCCCTGCTGTGAGGGCATTGTACAGATGTGTCACTTGGGGACGTGGTTTAGTGGGGCTTGGCATTGCTGGGTTAATGCTTGCCTTGATGACCTTAGATGTCTTTTCCAACCTAAATGATTCTATGGTTTGTATTTAGCTCCAAAAAGCGTTCAAGTCGGAGTCAGAGTAAGTTGGAGAGACTAACAAACTTGACAAAACAGAAGTGCTTGGCAGAGCTAGAACCTACTGGTTTTACTTACTGTTTTCCTTTAATTAAGTTATTCCCATAGTTTGCCTTGCTGCTGCGAGAAAACCCCGGTTCCAAGTCCTGGATTAGTCTCTCCCACCTGGCTCTCACTGTGTGACCAAGGCTGCAGCCATGTGCTTCAGTCCTGCATTTAAATTACAAGCTCCCCCTCCCCGTGTCTGCTCAGCAGAATTGCCTGGGAGAAGCTGTTACAGCACATCCTGCTCTGGTATCACTGGTCTAGAGCAGCTCCCTGCCTCAGGCACTTTGTTTGGGGAATAATGTTTAATAAAACACCCGAAGGAGTTGGGAGCCCCTGTATTAATTAGATGTGGCACGTTGCTTTGGCGAGATCCAGGTCAGCGTGAAGCTGGGAAGGTTTCTTTGGGATGGCTTCCATGATAAAACAGCTTGTGATAACACTGAGGCTGCTCCTGCTTTTTTTTTTGGAGAGCAGCCCAGTGTTGAGGCAGGCTCTCCCTGGCCCTTTCAGCTCTGTGCTCATCCCTGTGTGCCCAGGGAACCTCCTGGCCGGTGACTCAGGCAGCCCCACACAGGGAAAATAAATTGACATATGGGCTCGGCAAGCACTCGGTGCCTTGTTATCTTTTGCATCCCACCGGGGATGCCAGATGAATAAATCATGGCCGGGCAGGAAGCAGAGGGATGGCCTCGTTAATTGTCGGCTGGCGAGTGAGTCCCTAGAACGGCTGCTCGCTAATTAACTGCCTGGATCCTACAGCTCTCTTTGGTGGCAGGGACATGAAGCCAGAGCCCTTCCCGCTCACACTGTGTGGGATGTGCCCCTTTGGCCGCCCTCAGTTGCTCCATCCAGCGGTAACTCAAACACAAAGCCCAATATTTCTGTCTTTAACACATTGGGAATACACGGGCGGCCGTGCCGGCTGCTGCCGTCCCAGTGTGGTTAATAGGATGTTTCCCCAGGCTGGTAGGGTCCAAACTTTGCATTTCCCAGCTCCTGGATGCTTGGGTTTGTCATCTCATCCCACTTCACGGTGGTTTTGTGGGAAGCCTCTGGTGTGGGGTGGATGCTGGGCTCTGGCACTAGTGGCAGCTCTTGGGCTTTGCAGACCTCATGTACCACTGAGGACCTGAGAGCCCCACTGCCTGTCTCTGCCAGGTCCCTTCCTGGGAAGTTGCTGAGCACCAGGGAGCTTGATCTGTTCCTTTCCCAGACTTAGGTGCCCAGATACCCCCTCAGCCTGCAAAAACCGCATGCCAGAGGCTCCTTCTTTAACATCAGACTCATAAATGTTGGGAGAGGGACTTTTGATAAGGGCATGGAGTGACAGAACAAGGGAGAATGGCTTTAAACTGAAAGTGAATGGGTTTAAGATTAGGAAAAATTCTTCTCTGTGAGGGTGGTGAGGCCCTAGCACAGGTTGCCCAGAGAAGCTGTGGCTGCCCCATCCCTGGAAGTGTTCAAAACCAGGTTGGATGGGGCTCTGAGCAACCTGGTCTGACAGAAGGTGTCCCAGCCCATGGCAGGGAGTTGGAATGAGATGGTCTTTAAGGTCCCTTCCAACCCAAACCAGTCTTTCTAGGATATACCAGTGAGGTTTTCCCCAAAAGCTTTGCCAGAGCCCAGACTGGTGTGCAGAGCCGGTAACCCTAGCATTGTGGATGCTCTCTGGGAAAAGATGGATAGCGTGTGGGGGAGAAAAAGCAAATTAATTTCCTTGTGTGTAATTTTATTAGTAATAATGCAATTTTCTTGTGATTTAATTTTCAGAAGGGCTCATCTCACATGCCTTGAATCACCCTGGGGGCTCTCGCCTGGGCAGTCTGGCTCTGGTGAGCAGTAGGGGGAGTGTTTTCCCGTAGCTCCAACATGGCAGTGGACATTAAATGGAATATGAGGAATGTGGAAAATGGCTGGATATTTGCAGGAGGTCTCCTTGTACTCCTGTTTGCTAGCTCTGGCTGGGTAGTCTGCAGTGTGGTGGGCACAGGGAGAGAGTGCAACATGTGCCTCTCTGCTGCTGCACGAGACCTCTGCTCCCCTGGATTAGCTCTCTGTCTTTGCAGATGTGGCATTCCTGGTGTGCAGCCAGATGTTGGTGTTTAGCTGCTCTTGATCTGGGTTGCAGTGAGGGAAGAGAAGCAAAGGTTTTTTTTCTACTAGCATTGGCAGGTCCAACCCTTACCAAGCCTCCACCTCTGCTGCCTTTTCCCAGTGAAACAACCCCATAAGTGGAATAAGAATAGGAAGGATAAAATTCTCTTTTCTGGTTTTTTTTTTATTATTATTTTTCCATGAGTAAGCTGAGGCAGAGAACAGCAAACACTGTCTAAGTGCCTGTGGAGCAGTGGCTCTGTGGGAGGCTTTAACTTTATGGTGAAAGGTGCATGTACCAGCCCACCTTGTTCTTGTCTGAGGGATTTAAGCCCAAGGCAAACGTTAAACCCTGTATTCCAGAGTCCCAGCCTGATGCCCCACCCTCCATCCTTCTGTTTAGGTGCTGGGATGGAAGTATGTGGAGAGGTTTGCCATGCTCCAAGGCTGGGTGTGCTGCTGCATGGAGTGGTCATGGCTGAATCGCTGCTGTCGTTGCTCTGTACGTCTGGCAGCATCATTTGGGTGATGTTTGGCTTAGAGACAGCTCAAAAGAGAAGCTCCTCGTCAAAACAAGCAAACGGGGAACCTCCTGTGGCTTCTCCGGGCTGAGCAGCTGCTTCCTTAGCTGATGGTAAGGACAGGCAGAGCCACACAGGGAACATCCCAGAGAAGCTTCAAGCTGAATTGGAAGCAGACAGGACCCAAACCTGCTTTTGCATGGCCACAAACCGAGTGGGCATGGGAATTCGTTAAGCTTAGCTTATGATATTTGGGGAATGCAAGCTGTGCTCTCATTTTGGAATGATACCTGCAACAAGGATGCATGGAAAAGCCTGATTCCCAGATGCCAGGCAGGGAGCATGGGAGCAGAGGAGACTGGAGGGAAAGCAGCCAGGATGGTGGTACAGTGAAGGTGGGATGCTGTAATTCAGCACTGGAGTCCCTGAGTGATGGGTGGCAGGTTTCAGTGTCCCAGGGAAGGGATGCACTCTGCCCACAGCATAGGACAGTGATCCTAAAGAATAAGGTAATTAGAAGCGATCTCCTGTTTTGAGTTAATGCCTCTGATGCCACGAGTCTGTGAGGTCTCCCTTGCAGGGTATGATCTGGTTCATGGAGCTGCAGGATAGGAGAGCTTCCTGCTGCTCCCTCGGATCCATACCTGCAGTGCAGACCGTGGGGAGCCTTTTGGGCTGGAGCGTGTTGTTACTGCAGCTCTGCCTTTGTGCCGTTTTATGGGAAGCAGGGAGAGAACAGAACAAGCTGAAAACGCACAGGGTGTTGCTAACAGATCTCAGTGGCTTTTTATGACTTGGCAGCCTCTGTCTGGTTATGTGCACGCTCTGCATCCCAGATTACAAATGAAGCTGCCTTTTTTTTTTTTTTTTTTAAATCCTTATTTCTTTTTACTTGTGCTGAACGAGACAAAGGGCCCCCTTGGTGTGTGTTGGGCTGGCAGCTCAATCGATGCTTCCCAGCATATTCCCCAGCACCATCTGGGTTTAATTGGCTGCAGTGGTGGGGAGAGGGCAGGAGTGTGCATGGGGTGGCACTGCCTCTTGTCTGGGAAATGCCCCTGGGCACTGGGGCTGTTTTGGCAGCTGTTTCAGCACTCACTACTCTGTCCCTCCTGGGCTCTGCAGGGAAGGGACAAACCCTAGGTGGCTCTGGGTCATCGCTACTGATGCTTTGTGGCACAGTTTTGGGAGAGGTGTTTGATGTAGTGGGTGTAGCTGCTGTGCTGTGAGCAGCAGCCCTGCTCCCACCCGAGTGGGCTCTGTGGGGGCTGCTCTGTGCTGTCCTGGGGGCAAAGGGCTGGAGGAGGGCAGTGGCCCTTAGCTGCAGCATCAACGTTGAGAGGGATCTGTGGAACAGCAGCCCTTGCTCCTCTGTGTGTGCTGCTGGGGAAGGGAGAAGGTGTCCCAGCATCCCATCCAGGTCTCAGCTCTGACACCACTGTCCAGTGCCTGTCACCCCTCCTCAGGTCTCCCTCCTGTTTCTTCCTCCAGCACTTTTGCAGTGTCAGTAACTGTCAGAGGCAGCTTAGCCATGTCCTTCTCCACCATGGGCTCCTGTTCAGACTTCTGCTGCCATGTGTCTAGGAGCTTGGGAGGGCTGGGCAGAAATGTCAGGGCAGCTCAGGAACTGTGGGAGCTCTGCAGGTGAAAACCCTGAGATGTTGGTGGCAGGTGATGCTGGGGTTATGTACCTGGGAGCATCCTTCATGTAGATATATCCATGATTCCTATGCAAGTCCTCTGCAACCCAGGGCAAAGAAATTAACCTCTCTGAAAGTCTAATGAGTGCCTTGGTTAAGGTGATTCTCTCTGCTCAT